CTCACCTTATATAAAGTCGCTCTGCAGGTCTGTCTTTTCCTCTCGCGCCTCCGTCTCTCAGGGGGAGGGTGAGGCCAGGTCAGGCTGTGCGCTCGCCGTTGTTCTTCGTGTCCTCATGGCTCTGAACGTCCCGGGACTCGTCGTCACTCTGCTCTTCTACGTCCTGGTTCTGGCCATCGGGGTCTGGGCCTCGGTCAAGTCCAGGCGGGACCAGAGCCGGAGCCAGGCCCAGCACAGTGACATGGCTCTGCTGGGAGACCGCAAGATCAGTCTGCTGGTGGGCGTCTTCACCACCACCGGTGAGTCTGGACTTTTTATTTGAATTGAGTAAAAATAAATAAATAATAATAAAGTATAACACATAAGAACAAAACGAACAGACAAACAAAATGACACAGACTGTTCCATCCTTCAGGCAAAAAACATCAAATGATAATTATAAGTTAAGTTACGATTTCCAAACAGGAGAAAAGTTGTACATTTTTTATTTGTGTTTTGTAAAATGAATCTAAACTGTCAGAGACAAAAATGTTTCAGGGTGAGTCACCGACAAACACACAACAAGTTTATGTGCAAACATAATGTTTATGTGTCTGTGTGTGTGTGTGTGTGTGTGTGTCTGTGTGTGCTGTGTGTGTGTGTCTGTCTGTGTGTGTGTGTCTGTGTGCATTTGTTTGTGCATTTGTGTGTGTTTATTTGTGTGTGTATCTCTGCGTGTCTCTGTGTGTGTGTATGTGTCGGGGTGTGTGCGTGTGTGTGCATGTGTGTCTGTGTTTGTGTGTTTGTATTTGTTTGTGTGTCTGTGTGTGCATTTGTGTTTGTGCGTTTGCGTGTGTGTTTGTGTGTGTGTGTTTTTGTGCGTTCGTGTTTGTGCATGTGTGTTTGTGCGTTTATGTTTGTGTGTGTGGTGTTTGTGTGTATGGTTCTGTGTGTGTTTGTGTGTTTTGTGTGTTCGTGTTTGTGTGTTTGTTTCTGTGTCTGTGTGTGTCTGTGTGTGTGTCTGTGTGTGTCTGTGTCTGTGTGTGTGTCTCTGTGTGTGTTTGTGTCTGTGTTCTTTTGTGTTTCTTTGTGTGTGTGTGTCTGTGTGTGTTTGTGTCTGTGTGTGTTTGTGTGTGTGTTTGTGCGTTTATGTTTGTGTGTGTGGTGTTTGTGTGTTTGTGTGTATGGTTCTGTGTGTGTTTGTGTGTGTTTGTTTGTTTTGTGTCTGTGTGTGTTTGTGTGTCTGTGTGTGTTTGTGTCTGTGTGTGTTTGTGTCTGTGTGTGTTTGTGTCTGTGTGTGTCTGTGTGTGTTTGTGTCTGTGTGTGTTTGTGTGTGTGTGTGTGTGTGTGTGTGTGTTGTGTCTGTGTGTGTGTGTGTTGTGTGTGTCTGTGTGTGTTGTGTGTGTGTGTGTGTTTGTGTGTTGTGTGTGTGTGTGTGTGTGTGTGTGTGTGTCTGTGTTTGTGTGTTTGTGTGTGTGTGTGTGTGTGTGTGTGTGTGTGTGTGTGTGTTGTGTGTGTGTGTGTGTGTGTCTGTGTGTGTGTTGTGTGTGTGTGTGTGTGTGTGTGTGTGTGTGTGTTTGTGTGTGTGTGTGTGTGTGTGTGTGTGTGTGTGTGTGTGTGTGTGTGTGTGTGTGTTGTGTGTGTGTGTGTGTGTGTGTGTGTGTTGTGTGTGTGTGTGTGTGTTTGTGTGTGTGTGTGTGTGTGTGTGTGTGTGTGTGTGTGTGTGTGTGTGTGTGTGTGTGTGTGTGTGTGTGTGTGTGTGTGTGTGTTTGTGTGTGTTGTGTGTGTGTGTGTGTGTGTGTGTGTGTGTGTGTGTGTGTGTGTCTGTGTGTGTGTTGTGTGTGTGTTGTGTTGTGTGTGTGTGTGTGTGTGTGTGTGTGTGTGTGTGTGTGTGTGTGTTTAGCCACGTGGGTTGGAGGGACGTTCCTCGTGGGCACTGCAGAGTCGGTGTACGACCCGGGGCAGGGTCTGGTCTGGGCTGTGATGCCTTTGGCCGCGACAGTCGCCTTCATCCTGGGTAAGAACTCACATCATCTTCATCACTGTAGCTGAGTCCAGTCAAGTGGTAACGGAGGGAAACAGGGGCAGATTTTTGACATTCAAATGTCTCTTATTCAGAAACTAGAGGAACTATTGAAATAAGTAAAGTATCAGAATGTAGGAAAGAGTTACACTCCAACAGGGTCAAGTTAAACCTGTGAGATTCTTTCAAGTTCAAGACAAAAAATTAAAAAACTCATGTTGGTAACGGAGGGAATGAAATATGCAGCACTTTTTGGTCAATAAATCCAAACAGTGATAACTCTTGGTTCTCACTTCCATATCCTTAACAAACTGGTTTGAATATTTGCTTCATATAGTTTTCTACCATATGGTACAAGATTAGGTTGAAAAACCTCTTTTTGACTCATGAGATTTTTTTAAGAAAGAAACACGGAGGTAACGGAGGGAAAATTGTACAAACAAGTAGAAGGTGCAGGATTTTACATCATTTGTCAGTTTTTTTCTTCTGAAAACTTTAATATTACTTCAAAATGAAAGGAAACTATTTCTATAAAATATGTCAGTCCTTCCAAGAACATTTTTATCATTTAAAAAATTTTTTTTTTTGAAAAATCATGTCCCTTCATCAACAGTTCAAAGATGGAATAACACAAGATATGATGAAATACAAACATTTATTTACATGATTTTTGGGTCTTTGAAATTTGGGAAATAATTTTTGTTCCATGTTTCATACATGGTCTGTTTAAAACATATGGAACTTTAGAACCAAAAATGGTACAGAAAACAGGTCAACAGTTTGATAAACTAGAGTACATATGTATCTGTTCAATACATTTTTATATCAGATGAATTAACTTGTTTTTGGCCTTGTTGTTTACTTCTGCTTGACCAGGTCCTCATACATCATTTGTGCTGGATATTTTATTTTGGCATTAATAAAAACATTTTAAGCAGCTAAATTTGTGGACGTGGTCTAATCTTGCACACATTTTGGACAATTCCTTTCCACTTCTCCATGTTTGAGCTTAAGAAAGTGAACGTCCACATTAGGGATGGGCATTTGATGAAATTTTATTAATCGATAGTCAGGAGAAGTAACGATTTTTGATTAATCATTAACGTTTTTATATAATAAGTATCATTATTATTATTACTGTTACTAATCTGCATAAATAAATTCAACTTTACAACATATAAACATAACGACTCTAGAGCCACATCAGCTGTTTGACATTATAATGTGTTTAATGCAGCTTTGTGCAAATCTCACAGAAACAAAACTTAAAACCACATGACTCATTTGCATAAATAAAGAAAGAAAAAAAGAGAAAAAAAAAAACGCTCTTGTGCTGCTGATGTGGTTCAGTTTCAGTGGAATCTGAGTGTTCTTTCTGTGACAGAGGGATGTTCTGCTGATGGTGAGTCTGTTCTGTGTTTGTGTCGTGATGTTTTCAGATCAGACGTGTGCAGGTTTATCGCAGATGCGGCGGGAACGGGAATGAAAATTACACTTCTTTGCGGGAGCGACGTGTTGTTGTCCCACCAACACATAAAAACTGATTTTATAATAAGGCAACTCGCACAAAAACAGTAAAGTTAGAGATTAAAAATGAGATTAACGCGATAAAAAAACATAAACATGCTAAATATGACTGTAGTTAATTAATCGCAGTTCATTTCACACCCCTAATTTTGCCACAGAAAAGCCATTAACGGAGAGTTATGTGGCACTTCCGGCTGTTGTGAAAAAGGTTTATGTTTCCAGAATCTTCTACGTGTTTGACAATATGAGTGACGTTTGTGTAACCGTGTGTTTTGTTCGTCGTGGCGTCGCAGGAGGACGCAGATCTGAACGGTTCTGGTGGTGGATCCTCTTGACCTCTGACCTCCTGTGCTGTGTGCAGGGGGCCTGTTCTTCGCCGAGCCCATGAGGGACAGGAAGTACGTGACCATGATGGACCCTTTCCACAGCAGATACGGCCCCGTCCTGAGCGGGCTCCTGTCGCTGGGGCCCCTGCTCTCCGAGGTCATCTGGGTCACGTCCACACTCATCAGTCTGGGTGAAGAACGGAGAAGAGCGGAGATAAGAGCGTGTGACCGGGGCGGAGTGTGTGACCGGGGCGGAGTGTGTGACCGGGGCGGAGTGTGTGACCGGGACGGAGTGTGTGACCGGGGCGGAGTGTGTGACCGGGGCAGAGTGTGTGACCGGGGCAGAGTGTGTGACCGGGGCAGAGTGTGTGACCGGGGCAGAGTGTGTGACCGGGACAGAGTGTGTGACCGGGGCAGAGTGTGTGACCGGGGCAGAGTGTGTGACCGGGGCAGAGTGTGTGACCTGTGTGACCGGGGCCGGAGTGTGTGTGTGTGACCGGGGCAGAGTGTGTGACCGGGGCGGAGTGTGTGACCGGGCAGGACCGTGTGTGACCGGGGCCGGGGCAGTGTGTGACCGGGGCAGAGTGTGTGACCGGGGCAGAGTGTGTGACCGGGGCAGAGTGTGTGACCGGGGCAGAGTGTGTGACCAGGGCAGAGTGTGTGACAGAGTTTTGAGCCCCGTGTACCACATAAAATCAGGTCGAGGTCTGTAAACACAACCAGAATTAATACATAAAACACACTGTCGATTTTTGAGAAAATTAAAGGATTTTCTCCATCCATCCATTTTCTTCCCCTTTATCTGGGGCTGGGTCACAGAGGCATCAGTCTAAGCACAGACTCCCAGACTTCCCTTTCCATGCACACTTCCTCCAGCTCCTCCGGGGGGATCCTGAGGTGTTCCCAGGCCAGTCCAGAGACATAGTCCCTCCAGGTGTGTCCTGGCTCTTCCTCGGGGCCTCCTCCCGGTGGGACATGAACACCTCCTGAGGGAGACGCATCAGAACAGATGCCTGAGCCTCAACTGGCTCCTCTCGACATGAAGGAGCAGCAGCTCTACTCCGAGCTCCTCCCGTGTGACTGAGCTCCTCACTCTATCTCTAAGGGAGACGCCCAGACGCCCTGCAGAGGAAATTCCGTAAAGGATTTTAAGTGCGCAGCGTCCAAAAAACACAGTTCTAAATTATGTTATTCTTAAGGTTCTGGAAAGTTTTAATATTCACCAAACGGATGCTGTTTGAATGTTTGTTATTGAGGTTAGAGAGGTTAGAGAAAGTTAGAGGTTATAATCATTTGGGCAATTCATCAATGTTCCTAAAAAAAACAGGTACAAAAATCATGTATGTCCCAGAGCTCCAGTCACCACGTGTGCTCTGAATTACAAGTTGGAGCTGTTCCGTGTTTGTTTGCCTGCAGGGAGTTAGAACCTCCTGAACTGTTCCGGGTGTGTTCCAGGCGTGACCATGAGCGTGATCCTGGACCTGTCCTACACCGTGAGCATCTGGATCTCCGCCGCCGTGGCCATCACCTACACTCTGCTGGGAGGACTCTACTCTGTGGCCTACACCGACATCATCCAGCTCGTGCTCATCTTCATCACTTCTGTAAGGACACGAGGCGCTTTCAGACCTCACTCAACCCTGAACCCGTCCGCAGTGATGTTCTCGTGTTCTGAAAACTCCCTGAACTATTTAAGGTGTCAGTTTGTACCAGATTTACCAGTCTTACAAAACATGAACAACAGGACTTTTTTTTTTTTTTTTTAACTCTTTGCAGTGGTCCAAAGTCATTCGTCACTTCCCTTATGCATTCTGAGCATCCTAATTATTCACCATGATGAGTTTATTCAAGCTTTTTATTTAAGATCAGAGGGGAGTTTTGCATAGAGTGACCAGACGTCCCAGTTTACCCTGGACAGTCCCAGTTTTGAGCCTGTGTCCCCTGTTTTATATCTAAGAAATGTCCCAGGTGTCCCTATTTTGGACCAATTTCAAACTTGCCAACAGTAAAGAGAGGCATAAATTGATATTTGTAGATTTAAAGTATAGAAAATCTGCTTAAAAATGACCAAAACACGAAGAAAATGTGACTGTACTGACTCACATGTTCATCGTGCGTCGTAATGGGCTGAGTGCAGAACAATTCTCCTTATTTACACACTTGTTTCACAATTTTATTACCATATTTTTTGGATTATAAGGCGCAATATCAGTAATGTTGAATTCCCTTGACTATTTTCATACATAAATTGCACTGGATTATAAGGAGCATTAAGCGAAACAGACGACACTTGAGACTGATCCTTTAGTCCAGGCGTCCTCGATGCATCTGCAGATCGAGGTGTAATTCGTTGTCTCTCTGTCTTGGTGAATGTGGATGATGAATGTGAATGTGGGTGGATCATTTAAGTTTGTTTTTTATTTCCTACGAGGACGACTCAGATATACATGGAGTCATAATGTGTTTAATGCAGCTTTGACACATTTGTTTATGTTTAACAGAAACAAAACTTAAAACCGCATGACTCATTTACATAAACTATAAGCACTGAAAAAAGCATCTCGCTCCTTGTGCGTTGATGCGATTCAGCTTCTGTCAGACTCTGCGATGTTCCTGACTACGGTCGCCAAAATGCTCTGACAATCCATCAAGCGGTGCGGCTTCGTAGCTTACCAAAGTCGTACTAAAACATTTTGGCAGATTTTTGAGCGCCGTGTACTAGGGGTGTGACGATATCCAAGTCTCACGATACGATATCGTCACGGTTTGAACCTCACGGTACGATATTTATCGCGATATCGTGGGAAAACTCACGATATGGTGGGGAGGCCCATGATTAGAGATGTAACAAAATCCAAATCTCTCGATGTTTTCACGATATACATCTCACGATATGAGATTTATTGCGATATTTTGTGGAGGTTAACAAAATAATATGCAACTTTTTCCTCTTAAAACACCTTGACAAGACTTAATCCAAAGAACTAAGACTTAAAAGTGTTAGAACTGTTATTTCTTCTTGTCGTCTGCACTGAAATGGAGCAAAGGATCATGGTCTATGTAGTTCTCTGTCTTTTTTTAATTTATTGCTGCACCACAACTCTTCATTTAAACAAAGACACTATTGTGAGAACTTTGACGATACAGTATCACAATATTTTGGTTATTGTTACATCCCTACCATAAAATCGGTTTGAGGTCAGTAAGCACAACCAGAATTAATACATAAGGTGCCCCGGATTATAAGGCGCACTGTTGATTTTTTAGGAAATTGAAGGGTTTTGACTGTGCCTTATACCAACCAGCCGAAAACCGAGAGTGTCCCAGTTTTTTATTTTGAAATGCTGGTCACCGTATTCAGAAATACAATTGTTATCAGTAAAAGTTAGATTAGATTTGAACATGTTTATCTTACATACTTTTCCTTTTACTCTCGTCTAAACATTGTCTTTGGAGTAACTCGTGTGTCTGTTGTGCAGTGGCTGTGCGTGCCCTTCCTCCTCATGAGCCCCTCCTCTGTGGACATCACCACCTCCTCCTTTAACCACACGTTCCAGGCTCCGTGGGTGGGCAGTGTGAGCGCGGCCACGATCTGGAGGTGGCTCGACGTCTTCCTCTTGTTGGTATGTGCGTGTGGTGCGTGTGGTACGTGTGGTATGTGTGCTGGTATGTGCTGGTATGTGCTGGTATGTGCCCGCTGCTGCCGCCGTCCCCGTCCCGTGGGCAGAGAAAGCCTCGCCCAGTGTCCCTGTATCACCCTGTCCTGGACTGACAGTGGTTTAGGATGGGCGTGGCTGTGGTTTCAACTCTTTACGAGCTTAAAATAACAAGCTTAAAATAAGTGAGGACGAGAGACAGACTTGTGATGGATCGTAACAAACTGGAGAGTTTTAAGTATCGTCTTAAGACCCACTTTTATTCTCTGGCTTTTAACACTGCCAGTTGTGTGTTTTTTTAAATGTATTTTTATGTGTTTTTATTGGTTTTATTGATTTAATTTATTTATTGGTTTATTTATTTCTATTCTATGATTTTGTTCTTATTTTACTTTACTGGTCTTATTATTTTGAGACTAGTATTATTTTAGTAGTTTATTTTATCATTTTATTATTGTTGTTATTATGATGTATTTGTGCAGCACTTTGGAAACTGTTTGTTTCTGAAATGTGCGACAGAAATAAAGTGAATTGGGATTGGGAAAGTTAAAATAGTTACCGTATTTTCCAGACCATAAGTCGCTCCGGAGTATAAGTCCCACCAGCCAAAAAATGGGTAATGAAGAAGAAAAAAACATATTTAAGTCGCACTTTTTGGGGGAAATTTATTTAAAAAATTAGAGACCAGGAACAGACATATACCATGTAAAGTGAAGTTGTAGTAAAAACAATAGAAGAGAGAAGAACAGACTGTTAATGTCACATATTTCCCAGTTCTTCAGATAAACTATAACATAAACAACAGAACAGAACAAGTTTAACCAAACTCTCCATCTCACTCCAAATCACTAAATCCATTCGATTCTTCATCCTCCGTGTCACTTCTGAACAACTCGTCCTCGACCTCCGGAGGTAAACAGAGCGACGCAAACTCTTCTGTGTCGCTGTCGTCAGACTCAGCATCAGTTCCAGTCAGAATTATTCGGGTCTTTCTGAATCCCGACAGGATGGTTTCTGTGTCACTGGAGTGACTGGAAAAAAACAGATAACATACGTGAAACTGCGATGCCAGACTGAAGCGGGACTGAACCAGGACTAAACTGGTCTCAGTCTCGGTCTGGTCCTGGTTTCAGTCCTGATCACCCGACAGTGAACGTGGACACAGGTCCGGGCCTATCCCAACACTCAGTCCTGGTTTAGTCCTGGTTTTGACCTGGTTTAGTCCTGTTTTAGTCCTGGTTTGGTCCGTATGTGGTGCAAATGTCTGGCAACACAGTTTAAGTTACGTAAACGGCCGTTAGTTGTTTTTTTGTTTTCTTATTTTTGGTTTTATTTTGAAAAAACGAATGAACGAATGATACACGTGTTTGTACTTTTACTTAAGTACCAAAATTGAGTACTTCTTCCCCCACTGAGATAAACCCATGTATCGGTTGGCTGATATATCGGGCAGATATTTGCAGTGTTTATCATTTGGGTTATTGACCTTAAAGTACTAAAATCCTCAAACATTCATGAAAGACAAAGACATATGAGACATCCACTCGCCTCAGCCCTGATGTTTCTTCTGCTGTGTCCTGTGTGTTTGCAGAGTGTGGGGGACCTGGGTTTTCAGGACTTCCACCAGAGGACGCTGTCGGCCTCGTCCTCCAGCACGGCCAAACTGCGCTGTTACGCCGCCGCCGTCCTCATCCCCACGTTTGGGATCCCCCCGGTGCTCGTCGGGGCCGTGGCTGCTTCTACAGGTACCACAGCTCACAAAACCTTCTCCAGTCAGAGCGTTTCAGGTGATTGTGTGCGATTTACAGGGGGTGTCTGTTCATTACCACCGCTCTGTATTTTAAACGTGCCGGTTTCCTGACACTTTTTAGAATCGCTATTTCGACATACATCAGTGCAATGGTCTTACCTGACAACTACATGATCCTTACACAACATTTGTTTGGCTCTTCTTGCTATAAGCCAGGGGTGTCAAACATACGGCCCGGGGGCTGCCTAAATCATCCTGAGTTTGCAGCAGCTCCATCAAAGCGGGATCCTGTTTGTTAAGCGAGAGGAGCAGAAGACAAACAGGCTGAGCTGCACTTTCTTGTTCTTGTAGTTTCACAGCAACATTAAGTCTTGGTCTCTTTGCAGTGGAAGGTGTTTCTTGACAAACAGCTGGTGCCTCTCGTTTTGGCGTTGACTTTTTAAATTCGTAACCAAGACTGAGTGAGGGATCGGGGTTTTGCTTTGTTGGTGCTCCACATACAAAATGTTCGCTGCAAACTCGGGATGATTTAGGCAGACAAAGATGACCTTTTTCGTCCTTCCTGTGGATCAATCCTGCCCATCGCCTTCGCCTTTCACTATTTTTCAATTCTGATGGGAAGAGAAACAGTTTAAACAGAGGTTTGCAGTCACACACATCTGATTCACTTTTGCATCTATGGAGTTCGCAAACCAATTTCTCGAGCCGTTTTCCGCTGTTAGGATCCAGCAACCACACAATTACGACGTCCGAATCCCAAAACTAAAATATGACAATATCAGAACCAGAAACAAAAGTGATAATGGTTCAAAAGACTTGAAAAGATCGACTTTGACAATAGACACATCCCACTGGGAAAACAAACATGGAGGTTTGATGCTCACTTTTTCGGAAAATCCTTCCCAGTGTGGATTGCGCAATGACCGGAAGTCCGAGATTCTTGATGCGTGTATTTCCACCTGTCGTCCCTGAGCAGGTTCATTGGTTGATTGTATTTAACTGACCTTGACTATCAGTTGTTCTTGGAGACCGGGAGCATGTTTTGGGTTGATGGGGGAAACCGGAGCACCCGGAGGAAACCCATCCAGACACGGGGAGAAACATGCAAACTCCACAGAGAAAAGCCCGAGCGACCTGGGGATCAAACCCAGAACCCAGAACCTTCTTGCTGTGAGGCATGAGTGCTAACCACTCAGCCACCGTGCCGTGCTGTGCAACCTGTTGCCTTCTGGCAGGCGACCAACAGACTCAGGGACAACTTCTTCCCCAAAGCTGTTCCCAGACTTAATGAGAACTGCTAATTTGTTTATTTATTAATTAATTAATTCTTGCACATGACGGAGCAGCTCTGAATTTCATTGTACTATTGTGTAATGACAATAAAGGCTTTCTATTCTATTCTATTCTATTCTATTCTATTCTATTCTATTCTGTTCTGTTCTATTTTATTCTATTCTGTTCTATTTCTACAACCCAACTCCAGGTTTAACATTACAGGCGTCATAAATGAGTGTAATATGAGACGTTGAACACACACTGCGTCCTGAAGGTGTTGTTCTCGTACTTTAACCCGACTGTGTTTGCGTCAGATTGGAACCAGACGTCGTACGGGGCCCCTCCCCCACACGAGCGCGGGCAGACGGGCCTGATCCTGCCCCTGGCGCTGCACCACCTGACCCCGCCCTACATCTCCGTGGTGGGCATCGGAGCCGTGGCCGCCGCCGTGATGTCATCCACGGACTCCGCCCTCTTATCGTCCGCGTCCATCTTCTCCTCAAACATCTACAAGAAGATTCTGAGGACCAAGGTAAGAGAAAGCAAATAGAACTTTACAGGGAACTTTTAAAGGCTAAGTTTGACTCTCCGGAATGAACTTTGTAAATATTGACGTCTTTCCGGCTTGACGTGATTTCATTTTGAATAGAGGGAACTGTTTGAGAGATCTGTAATGTCATTTTGACAAGAATAAACCACAGTTAGAGATCTGCTATTCAGTTTTGACTAACCAAAACAGAATTACAAATACTGTATCGACATTCAACTCGTCCTACATCATAAATGACAATTGCAGATTTCTGTTATTCAGTTTTGTTTAGGCAGATTGAAAGTTAAAGATTTCTCAAACATCATTATGACTATTACAAATTAAATGTCATGAAATAAAACGAGCCCTCACATGACGGATTTGTGGAGAGCGAGAACGTCGTGTGATTAAAAACTGCAAAAGAAATATCCAAAAATAGAACATGTGCTGACACCAGGCACAAACAACGAACCCAAACTCCAGTTAAAGATGTCCACAGAATCTGTGTGTCGTTCGTTCATTCGTTTTTCAATATAAAATCAAAAATAAGAAAACGAAAAAACAACAGTTTTCTTTATTTGTCTCCAAAACCAAAATGAAATAATGGATAATGATTCATTTGACATAATTCATGTTGGGGAAGAGTCTCTACAGATTCATTTGTGTGAGAAATAAATGAACACAAATTCAAGGAGTTTGTGTTTTTTGCCGGTAGGTCTACGAAATAGGCCGTGAAATAGATAATACATTTTTTATATAAATGGTGTTAAAAAGTATCCTAATTCATGAGCCGGATTCACTTCGTGGAAACTGTGTGACCTCGCAGCATTAGGATTCGTTCGACAGTAGGCGGATACTTTTTTTATTTAACCAATCGCTGCTGTTTGGTCGTGACGTTTGTAATGCTCCAGATCCTGTAGGAAGAAGAACAATAACGTCTTTCCTCTTGATAAAATTCACCAAACATTCTCTTTGTTCCGACTTTAAATCCTCGGGGATCTTGGGAATCGTTGCCAACACAGAATGTCTGTCTTCGTCTACGTCCATCTCAACGCTTTGTTTACTGTTGTTCTGTTCCACAAAAGGGACACAGACAGACGCCACCAGTTTGACGTTATGACTTCACAGCTCACAGCTGATTGGCGGTGTGTCATCTACAACTTCCGGGGTTCTTGTAAACCGTCTAGACCAGGAGTGTCAAACTCATTTTGGTCCAGGGGTCGTTTCCAACCGACTTTGATCCCAAAGTGTCTGGATCAGAAAACTCATGTCATATAAACCCCAAAAATAACAATAAGTTCAAATATTTGTGCAGAGAAACACAAATCTATTACAGAAATCTTTTTGAATTGATGAACTCTTTCTTTTACAAAATATTATAATATTATGAACAACCTGAAACTTGAAGAAAAATACAATTTCAACACAAAGTTTTAACATGAACTTGTCTGTAAACAGGAATAAGTCCATTTTTGTTGTAAAATCCTGCACTCGGCTCCACTTTTCTCATGTTGGACATTTTTCTGATGAGGGTGTCACGGTCAACAGTCAAAACGATCGTCCTTTAAGAGCGTTTGGAAAGAGACAAGTCTTCATTTGTGCTGCTCTGGTGGGAGGGGCCACGTACAGAGACGCTGGAGACGCTGCTGTGATAAACACCACAGAAAATTAACATGATTTTAATAGAAAATATCATTAAAATATTTTAGTAGAAAATCAGCCGAGGGCCAGATTAAAGGTCTTGGAGGGCCGGATCTGGCTCCCGGGCCGTATGTTTGACACCCCTGATCTAGTGTTTTCTGATTCCTGACCGAGTCGCTGGAGAGAAATGAAATTGAGCGGAGGCACTCGGTGGCGCCGGCCTGACTAGTTAAAAAGGTCCTAAAAAGACATGAATTTATCTTGAAGAAACCTGAAGGAACCCTGCAGTAGCTGCCTGAGCTGAGATTAAGGAGATTACTAAAGTACCCCAGAAGGTTCCGCAGCCTGGCTTTGTAAATAAAATAATGCTGTTGTTGTTTTAGGCGTCGGAGCAGGAGTTGCGTTGGGTGATCAGAGGTTCCGTGGTCGTCTTCGGGCTGGCGGGGGCCTCCCTGGCGTTCCTCCACACCGGGGTCATGGCGTTCTGGGTGCTGGGAGGAGAGATCGCCTACATCCTCATGGTCCCTCAGCTCGTCTGCGTCCTCTTCATCGGCGTCTCCAACGGTTACGGGGCCGCGGCGGGCTTCTTCTCGGGCCTGCTCTCGAGGCTCCTGTGCGGGGAGCCGATGCTGGGTCTGCCCCCCGTCCTCCACTTCCCCGGGTGTGTGCTGGAGGACGGCGTCTACGTCCAGTACTCGCCCATCAGGTCCGTGTGCATGCTGGTGGTCTTCTGCACCATCCTGCTCGTGTCTTATGTGACCGGTGTGATGTTCAACAAAGATCTGCTGCCTCAGAGCTGGGACGTGTTTCGTGTGAAAGAAACGCCGAAGAAACCGGAGATCAGCAAGGAGCTTTCAGAGACTGTGCAGGAGAACAGAGCGACACAACCCATGCTGGAGTCCACCTGTTGAAAACCATGTGCTCTGACAAACAAACTGCTTTTTACAAATCTAATCCAGAATGACGTCTCTCTCCATGGACGTCAACAGTTTTAAGGCCCAGAGAGAGAAACTTTGACCCCGTTTACACTGAAACTAACCCGCGTATCACCGTATCACTGTATCGGAAACGATCTGCATCCAGACACGTCGTTTTTGTATCCGCAATCAAAGCCTTCCCTGTCCACACGGTAACGCAAAATCGCCTGAAACGCTCATGTCAAATCGTCACGATGTTCCGACGTCATGTAAGTGGTAAAAACAAGGAAGTCTGAAGTTGCTGCAGCTGATTTTGAGCCGAGGGAGATGGCAAGTGTAAAAACAGTCTTTTCGTGGACCGATGACGAGGTTCAGTTGTTACTTCGCGTAACTCTGGGTTTTAAGACGAGCACGGCAGCTCAGAGTGACGACTGACTCATTTCTGTGTCCGTAAGTCTTCCCTATCCACACAACTTTGAGCATATTTGTTTACGTTTTACAAGAAGGAAACTTTCATAATTTGCATAAACTAAGTCTCAAAAAAAACAGTTCTTTACTTGTGTCTGATGTGGTTCATTTTCTGTCGGACTAAAGGACACGACTCAGTGGAATATGAGTGTTCTTTCTGTGACAGAGGGGTGTTCTGCTGATGGTGAGTCTGTTCTGTGTTTCTGTCGTGTTGTTGGTTCATGTGAAACTTTTCAGAGATTATACATCTGCAGGTCGTACACACAGACACACGTTTATATGAATGGACAGATATTATAGCCTCTTAGTGTTTTGGTGGTGAATTAGCTACTTCGCGGCGCACAGACCTACATCAGCGTGTCAGAGTATCAGTGTTTTCAGGTGTCCACACGGTGCTGGATCAGATTCGTACTCAGATGAATTCGTGGGAGCTGGAGGCACCAGATCGTTCCGTCTCTGGAGCTGTTTTCAGTCGGATTAGTGTGAATGAACACTGCGTCCGTAACGAAAATGACTCCAATATGTAGTGTGGACGGGGCCTTTCACTCACACTACGTCATCACAAGTGTTCAGACTGAGTGTCCTTTTTGACTCTGTATTTTACGACCTCTTGCTGCTGAAAATCAGGCTTCAGTTTGAGACACCGACACAGTCAGAGTCGTCCTTACAAATGTCTAAAACGTTCGCAGGGAACGTAGGCAAACTCAAGAATCAGTATAACACAGCATGTTTTAATTTTGCTGAAGTCAGTTCTAACTAAGGACGTCTCAGTGCATGTTACATAACAAAGTGCGACAGAAGCTCAGATACAGGACAGACGACGCCGCTGATCCGTGAATCTATATTTACACAAACTGAACTGGTCCTTCTGAAGCTCCATGTTCATGTTTGTTAAACTAAAGCTCAAACAGTCTGAGGAGGACACACTGTCAGAACAAACCTGACATCTGACAAACACCAGACGGGACTTTGTGATCATGTGACTGAGAGTGAGCTGGTGGAGGTTGCTGTCATTAAATGTAATAAGTGCATAGATCACTAAGAGCTCCCTTAGACATAATGTGAGGAGCTCAGTCACACAGGAGGAGCTCGGAGTAGAGCCGCTGCTCCTCCAAATGGAGAGGAGCGGCTGAGGGGCGAGCATCTTTTTTCGGATGTATCCTTGGCGTGTCCCTCGGGAAGGAGGCCCCGGGGAAGAAACAGGACACACTGGAGGGACTATGTCTCTGAGCTGGCCTGGGAACACCTCGGGGTCCCCCAGAGGAGCTGGAGGAAGTGTCTGGGGTGAAGGAGTTCTGTAAGTCCCTGCTTAGACTGCTGCCCCGGCCTACTGCGACCCGGCCCTGGATAAGCGGAAGAAAATGTATGGATGGGCTAACGAAGTGAGCCATAATAAGCAAACTTCATGGAGTTTCAGAGATTGTGGATTATTGTAGGTGACACAATCAAAGAAAGAAGAAGAAAGTCTGAGCCTTTTACCAGATTTAACTGAAATATACTAGTGTATATTTACATAGTCCTAAATGTAAATGTGACCTAACAGCAGTGAGTGAAGTGAAGTACATCAGTATGTTTGGCCAAATCAGCATTCACAAAATAAAATCTCTTCATCTGTAACTGGGTGCGTTTATGTCTAAATGTGTGGTTCAGAGCTGTAAATTCATACAGGTCAGTGAACGCTCCACTGTGGTCACGTCTGATCAGATCATGTGATTACAAACTTCGCTGTTTGCGCTGTCGACTCAGGACTGTGGGCTGACGGTGGAGCAGCTCAAGTAAGTGTTTCTTTGGTTGTAGGTAGAGAAGCAGCAACAGTTTCTAGGTCCACGTTGTATCATGTGGCTGAACTTGAACAGGGCTGCGGTCTCCTCCCTCCTCCTCTTCCCTTTAGTGCTCCTGATAACACCCAGGAACACTAACCGATAACGTTTATCAGCTCTGTTTGGAATGTGGTTGTGTGCAGAGTTTGGCTGTTTAGTTCCACTTTAAAATGCAAATCAGCAATATTCTTTATTACAGTAGAAATAAAACCAAGGAAGCAGTTGGTGGAAGCATTTTTGTTTATTGGTGTTTATGCTCTGGTCGTGTGGTTGTGTGTTTGTGTGGTCAGTATTTGCTCTGGCGTGTGGTCGTGCGGTCAGTATTTGCTCTGGTGTGTGTTTGTGTGGTCAGTATTTGCTCTGGCGTGTGGTCGTGCGGTCAGTATTTGCTCGGGTTTGATCAGTAGTAGAAGGCGATGTCGTTGGTGCAGAAGTTGGGCTGGAGACTTTCGAAGGTGCAGTCGGACGTGTCCATGGAGCAGCGGCCGCAGTGACAGCTCAGGGCCACCGGGTAGCGCACCACGGGGTCCACTCCCAGGGGGCAGTCTGGCAGCTCCAGCTCACGGTAGAAGTAGTCCCTGTACGTGCACACGTCCTGGTACACGTGACCCAACGGGATTTTGAACACAGGGTCCTGCAGAGACACAGTCACACGCTCAAATATGAAACTAAAACTATGTGAATTCTGCTTTTTGATTCAATGAACACATCTATAATCACATTCTACTTTCGAAGTGTGTTGTGCTTTTCCTCTAAACCTGATGACAGGGTTCACACGGTCATGGAAATCCTGGAAAAGTCATGGAATTTTAGTATCTGTGTTAAGTTATCAATAGGCTATTATAATTATTTCCTAACCCTTTTTTTTTTTTTTTTTAAAGAGACGACAATAAATGCACGGACAGGATTTTGAATGTTCAAAAACTATAATCCCAAACCATAAGGTGAGTGGAAAGAGTTAAACATTTCATATTTAGTCCTAAAAGTCTTATCAACTCTACACATGTAGGTGCTGTAAAGTCATGGAAAATTCACTTTAGGTCAAGGCATGTCCAAACTATGGCCCGGGGGCCAAATGCGCCCCTTGGACAAATTTTTCTTGGCCCTCAGGCTTCCAGGTGAATTGGCCCAAATTACATTGCATCAACTAAAAATTATTTTTTATTGCAAGTTTTTTGAAAATTTACCTTGATAAAGCTAATAATGAATATTTAGTGTGTGGTTTTAAGGATCTTAGCATGAATAAAGTCTGACAGCCACTCTAATGTGTTAAACATGCAAATATTTCAATTATTCACTGCATTGAGCGTCAGTCTACGGTCCTCGATCGGCCGTCTGTGTCATCTGTGTTTAGATATGTGGCCCTTGGTGAAAAAAGTTTGGACACCCCTGCTTTAGGTCATGAAAAAGTCATGGAAAAGTTTTGAAATGTTGTCAGTGAAAAAGAGTGGGAACCCTGTGAGGACTTTTAAGGAACTATACACAGCCTTTAAATAAAGTACTACAGTCACATCTGAGCCTGTGTCCACAGAGCCTCAACCTGCAGACAGAGACACGTCAGAGTTTGTCTCAGTCTCAGGTCACGTTTACACTGAAACAAATCACCGTATCTGAAACAATTTGCATCCAGACATGATCCTCACAAAAATGTGAAACCACCTGAAATGCTCGTCACATGACTCGGCTGGCATCACGTCACATCATCACGACGTCACGTGGGCGGTAAAAACAAGGACGTGGAGCAGCGTGTCTGAAGCTGCAGCAGCTGACTTTGAGCAGACGAAAATAGCAAGCATGAAAACAGTATTTTCTACTAGTAAGTAATTCAAGCCACGCGGTTTCCCGTTTGTCTCTGGTTTGTTTAAACTGTTTTCCACAACAGCGTCACATGACGATGTCACGAACCCAGAGAATCAGAAGGAGCGAGTCACAGTGACGTGGAACAATAAGGACGAGACTCGAGCTCCTACATCAGAGTATCAGAGTTTTCAGGCGTCACACAGTCCCCGTCACATCTGGACCAACATGAACTCGTGGAGCTGGAGGCACCAGGTCGTTCAGACTCTGGAGCCGTTTTCCATCGGATTAGTGTGAACGAACACTGTACACACAACCAAAACCACTCACATACATATTAGTGTGAATGGGGCCACAGTTTACGGACAGTATATGGATTCACTCACTGAGCTGCAGAGGCTGCACTAGCACTGATTCATGGTGTATCAATATGTTATTGAGGAGTAAACCTGATGTGGGTTAAACACTAGGTTAAAGAGGCTGTGGCAGAGGCACTACAGAGCAGTGCAGAGGAGTACAGGGGGCACAGGACACAGGGGGGCACAGGACTCAGGGAGCACAGGACTCAGGGGCACAGGCACAGGGGGCACAGGCAAGGACTCAGGGGGCACAGGGCACAGGGGGCACAGGACTCAGGGGCACAGGACTCAGGGGGCACAGGACTCAGGGGCACAGGCACAGGACTCAGGGGGCACCTTGGTGGGGCAGTGGCCGCTGCAGATGGTGGTCTCCACAGTGTGACAGCGAGGACAGCCCTCCTTCTCCAGAGACACCGTCTGGTTCAACAGCTCACAGCGCGGCAGGTGGAAGCCCTCTGCACACACACACACACACACACACACACACACACACACACACACACACACACACACACACACACACACACACACACACACACACACACAACACACACAAACACACACAAACACACACACACACACACAACACACACACACACAAACACAAGTGGAACAGGAGTTTGACATCTTTCACATGTTAAATGCAGGACAAGGAAACATGCATGAATCACACAGTACACAGCTCTAATTTAGTAAAAAATTCACTGTCCATCCCCCTACATTTGTTTTCCTTTTTAAACTGTTTTGTGTTTTTTAAATGTGTATAAAACAAGCGTCTGACCTGCAGGAGGCACAGACCAGGCGGAGAGCCCGGTGATGAGCAGGAGGGAGCTGAGAGAAGAGCCCGAGAGCACTGCCATGGTCCTGCAAAAACAAACAGCTCTGAGGCAAACTGGTACAAACATTTAAAAAGGAATAATCTCGATATTCCATTCCAATACCAAAAGGATCATCACAAAACACTCTTTCTTTAGACAACAGAATGTCATTTTCAACATTAAATGGAAGTACTTTCTTTCCTTATACGTGTGTAATCTGTCAGTGGTCCATCTATGTGCTCAAGATCGTTCTAAAGACTTTCAAGAAAAATCTGACACATGCTCAAATGAGGGTTAGTAGTTTTAGTTTCGATTAGGATCTGATTTTAGATACTTTTGACCTAAGTAAATAACCCAAACGATGGACTGGGGACAGAGATTTTACTAGTCCAACATTCAAACCAAACAGTTTACAGGTGGTTCTTTCGAATATAAATCAAATACATTCAAATACATTCACAAAAATAAGACAAATCTACAGAATAACACACAGAAAAGAGTGTTAAAAAGTGGTACGTACCTGTGTGAAGCGCGGTGATGGTGGTAGAGGAGGTGGTGGTGGCGTTGGAGTCACGGTGGTGGAGTTTTTAAAGAGCAGATCTGAGCGTCTCCACGGCGACGGCGCTCACGTGAGTCTTTACTGTCCGAACAGGAAATCACTCTTTATCCACATCAGGACACAGCGACAGGTCAGCGAGACCCGGAGAGAGGAACCAAACAGGAAAACTCAGGAATATACACGGAGGAGATCGGATTTCAGATTTTGTGGTTCAGACTGTGAGGTGATCATGATTTGATTAGAGATTAGTAATGTACTCGTCTATCTTTTTCAGTCCTGATTTTGATACTATGGCTTTAAGTGTCTGTCAATACTAGATCTGAACTGACACCAGTGCAGAGACTGAAAACTGCATTTATTTCTTTCAAACAATAATATAAATGATGTGCTATGCAGCTGATATCTCACAAGAAACTATATAGTATCTTTGTATAAATAAAAATTTAAACACTTTCTGGGCTGACTGTTCGTCTCATTACATCGATGTATAGACAGATTATTGGTTTATCTACACTGTGGAAGTACGTACATGACGAGAAGAAATGGCTCAAACTTCAGTAGCCGGACATACATTCATACCTGATCGAAACAACTGGCCTAGACCCCCGGGAGAGCCTGAAATTTGCTGAAATCCTACAAAACGCTGACACAAGACGAGACGATGACACGAGACACTGACACAAGACACTGACATGAGACGAGACACTGACACGAGACGCTGAGACGAGACGCTGAGATGAGACGCTGACACGAGACGATGACACGAGACGATGACACGAGACGATGACACGAGACGATGACACGAGACGAGACACTGAGATAAGACGATGACACGAGACGCTGACACGAGATGAGACACTGAGATGAGACGATGAGACGAGACGATGACACGAGACGAGACGCTGAGATGAGACACTGAGACGAGACGCTGAGATGAGACGATGACACGAGACGATGACACGAGACGAGACACTGAGATAAGACGCTGACATGAGACACTGACACAAAACGAGACGCTGAGACGAGAGGATGACATGAGACGATGACATGAGACACTAAGATGAGACGCTGACAGGAGACGCCGACACGAGACACCGACACGAGACGCCGAGAATGAGACGAGACGCCGACATGAAACCAGACAGAACAGCGGCTCTTTCTGCAGGAGACATGCGCAGTAGAGCCAAGTGACGTATTCTGATAATCATTCTATTTGTCCAACCAGATTCCAGCTGAACCGATATTTGGAATTCGATATCCAGTCAAGCTCAGTTTTTAGTAACGGTGCCAATATCTGACAACAGCACTGGATCAGTAAATTCCTATTACAGCTACACCTGATCAAATCACAGACTGTAGAAAGAAGTGGACTAAAGGAGTGTGATGTCACCCACAGTGTTTGCTCCAGTCAAATGAAGCTCATCGAGGCCGTCTGTTATAGGAGTGAATTTGGAGCCAGGTCCATATTAGGAATAGGAATTTATTTACGGACAAAATGATGACGAGAGGAAAAGGAGATGAGCTGATGCTGCTGCAGTAATCCAGTCTGATCCTCACACAGATCCTCACAGATCCTCACAGAGCGCGCTGACACTGCTCCTCCCTCACTGCAGCATCAGACGAGGAGCTGAAACAGAGCTACTGCTGGTTAACAGTGTTTTATACAGGCTTAACTTTTTAATGAACTCATCAGATGTTCTTCTTACACATAGATTGAAAAAAGTTTATTGTCAGTTCATCATACGAAACATATGAACAATCAAAATTGTGTTTCTCACTCCCAAGTGTATAAATAAATAATAATACATGAAAAAGTCCAAGTTTCTCCCTAGACGGAGGCTCCTGTACCTCGTCAGGAGGACAGGAGGCTGAATACACTGTGTTTGCTTTGCAGGTGAGGCGGGTGGTGTATATGTGTTAAAAAGTTTTAAACTTTAAAAAAATTTTAAACTTTAAAATTTTAGACTTTCAGACAGTGAAAGGAGTGATCACACTTATTTCTAGCTCTCACAAATCCTTCGACATTGTTGAGTTTTAACATTTGAAATTACACTCAAATATAAACGACATAAACAGAAAGTAAGTTATTAATGGAAACTAAATAAGTGAATACTTCCAAACTCCTCATATATGTATTTATTTACTTGTATATAAATATTTAAGTATTTTGAATTAACAATATTAATATTGTTTTTTTTAAGTACCATATATGAAGAGACCACCGGGATTAAATTATTCTCTTCATTGTTTTGATTTGATACATTTATTTTATACATTCAAAATAAATAAATAAATAAATACATAAATTTACATATAAACATAAACACATAAATAATACACGTCTTTCTAATCATTACTTCTTGAGTGGACTAATACCTGTAGTGAGGAAATGTTGAAATAAAAATGAAATGACTAAAACAGAATCCCTCTATCTACTAGTAAGTCAACAATACATAAGATTTCATCCAAAATGGAAAATGTATTCGAAAAGATGAAAAAGAGTCAATAACATAGACTGTATATAGAGATATTATATTATAATATTTATTATTTCTACAGTTCAGTCTTATGTTCTGTAATGCGGCGCTCTGGGGCGGAACCGTTGTACTCGTTTTTATGTTCCGTCCGGGGTGTTTTCGCTCCAGGACAAAACAATGCTAGTGCGCATGCGCAGAGGGCAGTGTGAGTTGTGTTATAAGGTTTGATGATGTAAGATCGAAAACAAGACAAACTAAAAGATCTACACGTTTATTAACGAATAAATCTACCAGTGCCATGTCCGGAGGAAGCGAGGACACCGACAAGAAGGTAAACCCGCGAACTACAGCCGAGAAACGGACTTAAAACGGGCTCAAAGCCTCCAGAGGTCATTGAGGTTTATTATGACCCGGACATTTTTATATTCAACATGTCGATTTATCACGTAACATCAGTAAATCTGTAATGTTTAGTTTATCATAATGAGATCTTAACAAACCTTTTACCGCCCTGTTCATTCAGAAATTTAGAGACAGAATCAGATCATCGCACAGACACAGATGTGATGTTTATGAGCACAGTTAAATATAATATAACTGTGCAACAACATGTCATCTTCTGTTATTTACTAGTGTCTAAATGGTCCATTTGTAGTTTTATTTGCAGTAGTTGTCTTAGTATGTTGTACCTTTGAACCACTTAGGGTCATTCCACAACATTTCACCAAATGGCCCACGCACTTTGATCTCAAAAGATTTAGAAAAAATGACCAGCTGGTCCCTTATGATCATGTACCAATCCTGTGAAGTTTTAGTCATTTTCGATCATTACTTTTCAAGTTACAGTTCATTTAGTGAGGGGAGAATGTGTCCATTTACGGGCCCAAAATGCGCATAATTTTTTTTCGGCCCTTTTCACAGGTCGAAATCTCCGTAAGTATCTCACACACAGAGGCTGAAATGTTGTAGGTTTGTGCTCCTCTGCTCTGTGCTCAAATAACATCTATCAAAGGTTTGGTTTCTCAACTCATTGTCATTTTATATGAACTTAAAAATGAAAAAACAAAACATGTTCATTTCCGTGGCCGTACCATTTTTAGGCTCTTTTTAAACCTACTTGTAGGTGTAGGAGACCCTTGCATTCTTTTGAGAATCAAGATTTGTACTAGGACTGTTAAAAAAAATCACCAAATGTTGAAAATTTGAAAGTTTATGTGTGAGGGCCCTGTTAAAAACAAGAAAACCCAACATGGTCCGATTTTCACATGTCATTTATGGCATGGGGGTAGTGATAAAAATAATGTGGAACATTTTTTTCCTGAAAGACCAGAAAAAGACCTTTCAGACGGTACCAAACACATGTATTTTATGAAAAATGACGTGCATTTTGGGCCCGTAAATTGACACATTCTCCCCTCACTAAATGAGCTGTAACTTGAAAAGTATTGATCGAAAATGACAAAAACTTCATAGGATTGGTACATGATCGTAAGGGACTATTTGGTAATTTTTTCAAAAAAAAAAAAAAAACATGATGCATGAGATTTTCTGGAAATTTGATGAAATGGCATGGAATGACCCCTTAGCCACTGGAAATATATTTTGTATTTTTAGTGGGATACAAGCTGATTGTGTTCCCAAAAACAAAAGTGAAACCTATAAATATAAATGTTATTATATTCTTTTCATCACATATAGAATTTATAAAACAATAAGGTAACGTGGTGATTTAAATATGTGATGTGTGCAGTTATTAGCTCATAAAAGTGTAATATCTCTTCTTTAAATTGGTTAAACATGTGTCTAAAAGTGGTGGAGTTGAAATGTGTGTTGAAAAATAAATAAAAGAAGATGTCAAAATTATAGTGAAATAATTAAGCGTAATAAAACATGTGTAAAATAATCTAGGCAAGGCAAGGCAAGGCAAGTTTATTTGTATAGCACAATTCGTACACAAAGTAATTCAAAGTGCTTTACAGAATAAGAAATACATTAAAATCATAATAAAACTAATCAAAACATGAAGATTAAAATTAAAAAAGAGAGAAGAGTGTGGAATGAAAACCTTTCAGTTATATGCACAGTTAAACAGAAATGTTTTGAGTCTGGATTTAAACAGCGTCACAGAAGAGTCTGTCTCACATGTTCAGGAAGACTGTTCCAGGTTTTAGCTGCATGAACCTGAAACGCTGACTCCCCTTGTTTAGTTCTGACTCTGGGCACCAGCAGGAGTTGGTCCCTGAGGTCCTCAGAGTGCGAGATGGTTCATATGACACTAACATGTCACAGATGTACTTTGGTGCTCGGCCATGGAGAGACTTGTACACAAGTAGAGCTGCTTTAAAGTCTATTCTCTGAGGCACAGGAAGCCAGTGCAGAGACCTGAGCACAGGACTTATGTGCTCGTACTTCCTAGTTCGAGTCAGGACCCGAGCTGCAGCATTCTGGATGTTCTGGATGTTCTGCAGTTGTCTCACAGCTCGTTTGGAGAGACCAGTGAGCAGACCATTACAGTAGTCTAACCTACTGGAGACAAATGCATGGATATAGTTTCTCCAAGTCTGATTTAGACAGTAAACCTTTGATTTTTGCTATGTTTTTTAGATGGTAAAAGGCTGCAGATGTTATTGATTTTATGTGACTGTTAAAGTTCAAGTCTGAGTCCATTATTACCCCTAGATTTCTTGCCTGATTTGAAGGTTTTAGAGCGAGAGACTGGAGGTGACTGCTGACACTGTCCCTTTGTTTCTGTGGACCAAACACTATGACTTCAGTCTTGTCAGAGTTTAGCTGGAGAAAGTTGTTTTGCATCCACACACTGATCTGTTGGATGCAGTGACCAAGTGACTCCACTGGTCCATAGTCTCCTGCTGCCAGAGAGACGTAGATCTGAGTGTCATCTGCATAATTGTGGTACGACACGTTATTGCTGCTTATTAACTGGCCTAATGGCAGATGTAGAGATTGAACAACAGGGGGCCCAGGATTGACCCCTGAGGCACCCCCCACAGGTCAGGGCATGTCATCTGAGACACAGTTTCCAATTTCAACAAATACTTCCTGTCTTCTAGATAGGACTTGAACCAGTTTAGTAACAGTACCAGAGATGCCCACCCAGTCCTCTAGTCTCTGTAAGAGGATCCCATGATCGACAGTGTCAAAAGCAGCACTCAGATCTAACAGGATCAAGACTGAGACTTTGCCTGCATCAGTGTTCAGGCGGATGTCATTTGTCACCTTGATAAGAGCAGTCTCAGTGCTGTGGTGGCTCTAAAACCTGACTGGAAAACATCAAAGGAGTTGTTCATTTGGAGAAAGTTCGTAAGCTGTTGGTAAACAGCTTTTTCAAGGACTTTGCCAAAAAACGGCAGATTTGAGATGGGTCGGAAATTGTTCAGTACTGTGGCATCAAGACTGCTCTTCTTTAGGAGAGGCTTAATGACCGCAGTTTTCAACGCATTTGGGAATGTTCCAGATTGAAGTGACATGTTAACTATGTGAGTGAGTGGTGAAAGTAAACTGTTGAGGATGGACTTTAGAAATCTAGTGGGTAACATGTCCAGGCAGCAAGTAGATGAACTCAGACTGGTAACGATCTCTAAAACAGTTTTGTCAGTTACAGGTGCAAAGTGATTCAGCTCTAAGTGTCTCTGTGGCTGCATGCTTGTTATTTGTGTTGTGGAATTGATGGCATTTTTGATGCCCTGAACTTTGTCATTAAAGAAAACTGCAAACTCATTACATTTAGATGTGGAAATTAGTTCTAGTGGCAGTGGAGCTGGAGGGTTTGTTAATCTGTTCACTGTTGCAACAGGACACGAGAGTTGTTACTGCAATTACCAATAATGTCCGAAAAATACTTCTCTCTTGTTTTACTCAAAGTGTAGTTGTACATATGCATTGTTCCTCTGTAAATCTCATAATGAACCTGGAGTTTGACTTGCGCCATTTCCGCTCAGCCTTCCGGCACTCCCTTTTCTGTGCTCTGACTGAGTCATCATTCCTCCACGGAGCTTTTTGCCTCTTTTAACCATTTTAACCTTTATCGAGCGATGGCATCCAGAACATTCAAAACACTCAAAGTCACAGAGTTCAACACATCATCAACATTAGAACATGAGGCAATTTCAAAATGTATCATTTCCATGAACAGTGCACCTGTGTTATCATTTATGTGTCTCCTTCGAACAACTGTAGGAGCAGCCGGTGGTTTGGGAAAACAGACAGGTCAAAAAGACACAGAAATGATCAGACAGAGCAACATCAACCACACTGACATTTGAAATATTTACACCCTTTGTAATGAGCAGGTCAGAGTGTGCCCTCTGTTGTGAGTGGGCTCACTGACATGCTGAGTCAGACCAAAAGTTTCAAGGACAACACTAAGCTCTTTGGCATTTTTGTCACACACATTATCCACATGTACATTAAAATCACCTGTAATGACTAAACCATCAAGTCTGTGCAAACAACTGAAAGCATCTCAGTAAAATCATCAAAAAACTTTGACAGTGCTGAGGAGGTTTGTATATGACTATGTAGAGTATGGACGGTGATTGTTTTAGCTCCATTTTGAAGGAAACATACTCAAATGATGAAAACACCCAAAATGACAACCTGTGTGTAACCAAATGATCTCTAAAAAATGCACACAACTCCTCCACCCTTTTTATTTGCTCGTGTTTCAGATTCAAATTTGAAGTTGGGAGGGGTTGATTCCACTAGCACTGCATGACCTGTGTTTTTGTCAAGCAATGTTTCAGTTAAAAACATAAAGTCAAGATTAAAAGAAGAAATAAAATCATGAATTAGAAATGATTTGTTACATAAAGATCTGACATTGAGCACCAGCAAGTTTCTGATTAGTTTCAGTAGGACTGTGTTATCTTCTTACAGGGAACGTGAACTAAATTTCTCTGATTAGACAGTCTAACTGTCCTTCTTTTAATCCGTCTACGTGTTGTAACTGGAGCTATAGCTCCATCGCAGGGCCCCAGCCTGATATTACCTTTATCATGCCTGGGACAGCAGAGGCCCTGTGCGTCCTAGCTCTTGGTGATAACAGCTCTGGGGAAAGGCGGGGGAGGGCGACAGGGGAGAGTTTGGGTGAGGGACAGGTGAGGGCCGAGGAGGTGGCCGAGGAGGTGGAATACGGGGGCCTGGTAAGGACGAGGAGGTGGAGTAGGGGGATTTGGGTGAGGGGAGAGCTGACACAGTTTTGTATGGGGACATAACCCTTGACCGTGCTATGTTAGGTGTGAGAGGAACCATCTTGATTCCCGATCTGATGAGGCTTTCTAGATGGTTGGCAGTGCCATGGTGAAGGTGGGGAGGAGAAGGAGAGTGAAGAGTCCGTTGATGGAGTAGATGTAGCAAGGGGGACTCCAGGCTGGTCTAATCTAATAAATCTAATAACAGTTTCTCCTCGTCAGGGATTCCGGGTGCTGGGGATCCTGGACATCCAGAACGTTCCGTGTGCTCGAGAGTCTCTGCTGTACGGAACGGGCGGAGCTCTGGCTGCAGGGCTGCTCCACTTCTTAGCCACCAGTAAGACTCTACTATTACTACTGCAATACTGCTACTGTGTGTGTACTAGTGTGAGCAGTGAGCAGTGTACTATAATCAGTGTTGGGAAGTTTACTTTTAAAATGTAATCCCCTACAGATTACAGATTACATACACCAAAATGTAGTTTGTAACAGAATCCATTAAATTACTTAAAGTGAGTAATGTAATCTGAATACTTTGGATTACTTGATTTGTTGTAGAGAAGCAAAGACTCGGACATCTGAACATAAGAAGTTTTGTCTGATAAAAGAAAATTAAAAAGCCCAGATTTTACTCAACCAAATTAAAAATATTATTGATAGAAGACGAGGAGACACGTCCACACAGCAGGATTTAGACCTGGTTTAGACCTGGTTTAGACCTGGTTTAGACCTGGTTTAGTCCTGGTTTAGTCCTGGTTTAGACCTGTTTTTTTAGTCTTGGTTTAGACCTGGTTTATTGTCCGGCAATGAGTGGAATTACTGAAAAAAAAAAAAAAAAAAGGGATTTAGCCCAAAATGTGAAAACAGTTAAAATCCCTCTGTGTGTAATCCATTTATTTCAACAAAGTAACTGTAATCCAATTACCACCCACTGAAACAGTAACTGTAACTGAATACAGTTACTCATCATTTGTACTCTGATTACATAACTCTGGTACATGTAATCTGTTACTCCCCAACACTGACTATAATACTGTTAATATAATACTGTGGGCGTGTTGTGTGGTGTGGTTCTGGTTTCTGTGTTTCTGGTTCTGACCGGTGTTTCTCTGTCCGCAGGTCGGGTCAGGAGGTCGTATGACGTGGGCTTTGCTGGATTCTTTGTCACCACTCTTGGGTCCTGGTGGGTCAACGCTCACTCCCAGAGGAAATGCAGCGTGTTTATTTACAGTCTTAATGAATATATCTGTAGAAAATGGCTCGTTTATAACTATAGAGCGTTTGTCGTAGATTCTAACCTGTCAGTAACAACCATTAATACAATCTAAAGTCTTGCATGTTTTTGGAAACTTTCCTCTAAATTTAATAGAATTCATTTGACGTCATCTGCTCTCACCTCTCCCCTTTCTCTCTCTTCTCAGGTTTTACTGTCGATTAAACAACGCCAAGTTCCGAGTCCAGGAGCGCATGATCCAACAAGGCCTCCGCAACAAAGTGGTTTACCAGGGAACCAACAAAGACCCGACCCTGCAGAGCCCCTCGGAGCCAGAGAAGCCCGGGGAGTCCTAACAGACAGACCCAAGTGGACCTTTGAGGGACTTTTGCACAAAGGTCTGAGTGAGGACGACAGGATGGAGACGTGTTGCACTTACTGTACAAGTTAAAGAACATATATGATGCAAAATTGAGCTTTGAACCTTTTATACTGTTGTCCCCTCCTCAAAAACATGTTCATTCACTCTTATTTCAATAATCTGTTGATCCAAAGTCTAATTCATTGAGCCTCAAAAATGCTCAGTTTCCTTCGTGCCAAGTTTTGTTGCAAAACTCCAGACTTCTGCGGAGCTGTTTTTCAGTCCATGAGCCGTCACAGGAGTCACTCTGGGGTTAAATTGTGTTCACAGCTAAAGTGTTTTTATTCACAATCCTAAACGCCTCACTGGAAACTGGAAAAGGTGTAGTTTATAATTATTATTTTAAGTTAAAACGTGACATGCTGATCCCAAAGTGACCAGGTTTAAAAAAAAAAAAAGAATTAAAGCTACAAGAATGCAGAATATATGTTCTTAAAAATGTGTTTTGTGTTAAATAAATGTGCAAACAAGTTGAGTTGTTTATTATAACATCTTATTTTGACAGATGTACAATGTGTGAATGATGTAATAAATGAAACTTTTGAAGTGTGTTTAAGGGAAATTATTGTTATTATTACTCCTATTATCAGAATTATTTATCACTGGGCCCAGTCAAACAGAAGTAAACAACAAGGCCAAAAATTCAAGTGAATTCATCTGATATAAAAATGTATTGAACAGATACATATGTACTCTAGTTTATGAAACTGTTGACCTTTTTTCTGTTCCATTTTTGGTTCTAAAGTTCCATCCGTTTTAAACAGACCATGAATGAAACATGGAAGTATTTAAAATGATACAAATTTGCTTGGAAGGACTGACATATTTTATAGAAATAGTTTCCTTTCATTTTGAAGTAATATTAAAATATTCAGAAGAAAAAAGTGACAAATTATATAAAATCCTGCACCTTCTACTTGTTTGTACAATTTTCCCTCTGTTACTTTTCCCTCCGTTACCATGAACTTTCTTAATAAAAAATCTCATGAGTCAAAAAGTCAGAGGTTTTTCAACCTAATCTTGTACCATATGGTAGAAAACTATATGAAGCAAATATTCAAACCAGTTTGTTAAGGATATGTAAGTGAGAACCAAGAGTTATCACTGTTTGGATTTATTGACCAAAAAAGTGCTGCATATTTCATTCCCTCCGTTACCGACATGAGTTTTTAAATTTTTTGTCTTGAACTTGAAAGAATCTCACAGGTTTAACTTGACCCTGTTGGAGTGTAACTCTTTCCTACATTCTGATACTTTACTTATTTCAATAGTTCCTCTAGTTTCTGAATAAGAGACATTTGAATGTCAAAAATCTGACCCTGTTTCCCTCCGTTACCACTTGACTGGACCTCACTACATAAGTTTATGATGTATTTTCTGCTCTTCTACAGTTCAGTCTTGTTTTGTCTCGACTCTTTTTCTTTCATACAGGATTAAACTCTGTCTTTGTGTGTGTCTGATCTTTTCTAGATCAACTACATTTTTCATTTTTGACCCTTTGTGTTGTTGAGTAAAAACCACACTGTGCCTGCAGCTGGATGTGCAGGAGTTTAAACTGCGTTAGTGCATTTGTCCACTAGATGGCGCCACTATATTTGACTTCACCGTGATGTCCGTGAACGTGACGCAGACGGTCAGAGCTGAGCGGCCCACGCGCTTCCAATATGTGTCATGTTATAAATAAATACACGAGCAGTAACGTCTATATTGTTTTTAAAGAAGCATTTCTAAAGCTACACCATGGAACTTTCTAGAGCTGGAGCGTCACCGCCCTGGTGCCATGGAAACGTCAAGTTAAAACCACATTTTGTAACATTCTCCATGGAGATAGATCAGTGTTATGCCAGGGGTGGGCAAACTACAGCCCTTTAGTCTTTTTATTTGAGCCTGTCGAACTTGAATAATAATAATATAATAATAATAATAATAATAAAATAATAATAATAATAATAATAATAAATAAATAAATAATAAAAGTCCTTTCAGTAAATAATAAACACCGTGGGACTTGAAACACAGATATTTTGTTGTAATGATTTTAAATAAGTGTTTAATTCCTCCCACTCCTTTTTCGGGTCCTAGTCTCAGTCCTGATCTTATCCTGAACCAGGACTAAAACAGGACTAAACCAGAAGTAAACCAAGTCTAAACCAGAACTGAGCCAGGACTAAACCGGTCTCAGTCCTGGTCCTGGCCCTTTTATTCCAGCCCGCCAAACTAGATTAAAACAATAAAATAATAATAATAATAATAATAATAATAATAATAATAATAAACGTCCTTTCAATAAATAATAAACACAGTGGGACTTGAAACACAGATATTTTGTTGTGGTGCTTTGTAATGATTTTAAATAAGTGTTTAATTAATAATAATAATCCTTTCACTCCTTTTTTGGGCCCAAGTAAAATCTGTGTGACATTTATTTTCGTTTATTATTATAGAAAAGAAATATTGACTTTTTGTTTTATTTCTATGTATTTATGTTCTCTATATAAACGTTCATTCATTCAATGATTTTCAAATGAAATTCAAGCTCAGGTTTTCTAACAAATCCCAGGACTAAAACCAGGTCTAAACTAGAACTGAACCAGGACTAAACCAGGACTGAGCCAGGACTAAACCGGTCTCAGTCCTGGTCTGGTCCTGGTCTGAGTCCTGGTCTCAGTCCTGATCACCCAACAGTCTTCACAGGAGACCAGGACCAGACCAGGACCAGGCCGGGACTGAGACCAGGATTGAGACCAGGACTGAGACCGGTTTAGTCCTGGCTCAGTTCTGGCTTAGACCTGGTTTAGGACTGAGACCTGGACCAGACCAGAACAGGACTAAACCAGGACTAAACAGGATTAAACCAGGTCTAAAACAGGACTCAACCAGGACTAAACAAGGACTAAACCAGGACTAAACAAGGACTAAACCAGGACTGAACCAAGACTAAACAAGGACTAAACCAGGACTAAACCGGTCTCAGTCCTGGTCTCAGTCCCGGCCTGGTCCAGGTCTGGTCCTGGTCTCCCGCGTAGACTGTTGGGTGATCAGGACTGAGACCAGGACTCAGACCAGGACCAGATCGGAGCCAGACCAGGACTGAGACAGGTTTAGTCCTGGCTCAGTTCTGGTTTAGACCTGGTTTACTTCTGGTTTAGTCCTGCTTTTAGTCCTGGTTCAGGATAAGATCAGGACTGAGACTAGAGTAGACTGAGACTCAAATTGGGACCGGACTGAGACCAAGCCTGAGACTGGGTTCGTCCTGGTTTAGTACTGGTTCAATTCTAGTTTAGACCTGTTTCAGCCCTGTTTTAGTCCTGGTTTAGTCTTGGTTCAATCCTGGTTTAGTCCTGGTTTAGTCCTTGTTTAGTCCTGGTTTAGTCTTGGTTCAATCCTGGTTTAGTCCTTGGTTTAGTCCTTTTTAGTCCTGGTTTAGTCTTGGTTCAATCCTGGTTCAGTCCTTGTTTAGTCCTTGTTTAGTCCTTGGTTCAATCCTGGTTTAGTCCTTGTTTAGTCCTGGTTTAGTCTTGGTTCCTGGTTTAGTCCTCCTGTTTAGTCCTGGTAGTCTAGTTTAGTCCTTGTTAGTCCTTGTTTAGTCCTTGTTTAGTCCTTGTTTAGTCTTGGTTAGTCCTTGTTTAGTCCTGGTTTTAGTCCTGGTTTAGTTTGGTAGTTAGTCCTTTTAGTCTTGTTTAGTCCTTGTTTAGTCCTTGTTTAGTCCTGGTTTAGTCTTGGTTCAATCCTGGTTTAGTCCTGGTTTAGTCCTTGTTTAGTCCTTGTTTAGTCCTGGTTTAGTCCTTGTTTAGTCCCGTTTTAGTCCCGAGTCCCGTTTTAGTTCCATTTTAGACCTGTTTTAGTCTTGGTTCAGTTCTAGTTTCATTTCTTGTCTTTTTATACTTTAAACACAAATAAATAAAAGAAGGCGGCGTGAGGCAGGTGTGTGGGTTTTGCAGGAGGTAGTTTATTGGACGTCGTTGAAGAGCGCCCCCTACATCCCGGGAGAGGCAGACACATGATCACGTGTTAGTCCACTGATTCTCCTGCACAGAACGACCTGAGATGTCCGTATGTACAGCTGCAGACGGGATCATTTCACTACAGCGGCGGCGGCGATGGCGGCGGCGGCGGCGAGGGGCCCCGCTCCCGTTCCACACGCCCTCCTCCTCCTCCGACGACAACACGAGTCCGGCCAGCAGGGGGCGTTACATTCTTCAGGCAGTGATGACAGTCGGTTAGTGGCAGTGTAATGGAATGGTTAGTATCATGCAAAGCCGGCCCAGCGTCTTCACGAACGGAGGCGGGTACTCGCTTACGTTTACTCGAGTAACTTCTGAGTACTTCTTTCAGTCGGACGCGCGGTACTTTTTATGCCGTTACTTTTGTCTCATGAATATTCACAAAAACACAAACGGTGATCTACAAATACTCACCGGTCTGAGCTCCACAAACGCAAATTTAATGTTTATAACTCGTATTTTGGTCTTTGCAAATTGACGTGGATTTGTAAATCTGTCTCTGACCAAATTTCAAAACTTTTCCATGACTTTTTCATGACCTAAAGTTGAATTTTCCATGACTTTTCCGCACCAACATGTGTAAAACTGATCAGATTTTTAGGGTTAAATCTGAAATGTTAAATCTTTCCACTCACATTATGGTTTGGGATTATAGTTTTTTTTTTGAACATTTAAAATCCTGTCAGTGCATTTATTGTCGTTTCTTTTAAATAAAAAGTGCAGAATAATCAGAATAACCTGATGAGAACTTAACAGAACGCTGGAGTTGCGTGAAAAATATACAAAAATTTCATTGATTGTACAAAATCCTATGACTTTTACAGGCCTGGATAATGATATTTTCAATTTCTTCAACTTTTCCAGGATTTCCATGACCGTGGGAACCTTGATATCTTTTTTCATTTGCAAAAAACGCTGAAAATTCTGTTTGTAAATGTAAAATGTGGTTCGCATTTGTGGATCACCAGTTACACAAATTCAGATTTCCTTTATGATGAATTTTTGAGACATTCTTTTCACGAAATCCACAGAATTTTCAGCTTTACAAATGTATTTTTTTTTTTTTCAAATTAAAAAAAGATTTATTTACAAATCCACATCCGTTTGTCAAGACCAAAATACATGTTACATATCATAAATTAGCATTTTCTTATGTCAAAACCAGGAGTATATCGTCACTCTCTGTGTTTTTTATGAATATTACTCAGACAAAAGTAACTCCACTACTTTTACTTCTACTCGAGTAACAAATCTGACAGTGTAACAGTATTTTTCCAGCCGTGTGTCACTCTCCAAGCGAGAAAAGCGTGAAATGATTTGAACATTTGAGTTTCTCTTATTTCTGCGTCCGTCCTTTTCAAACCTGCACGATTCCATGGAAACAGAGAGTTAAAATCACACTCTGGAACATTCTCCGTGGAGGAAAATACGTTTTATATCAGGGAGAATGTTCCGGCCAAAGTAGGGTGACCAGATTTTCTAAATTCAAAACTGGGACACAGCAGGGTCTGGACGGTTGGTTTGAGTAAAAGTGTGAGGAAAAAACG